TAAAATAAATTTAAAAGAACGTGCCGCTGAGCCGGCTAAGCACTTAACACTAGCGGAGAAAATCAAGACAAACGTACTATCTCATCTAAATTAAAATAAAAAAAATTTTTAAATCTTAATTAAATAGAATGCAATGAGTCGTCGATACTCGCGAAAAAAAGAAATTCACCACATCACATGAATCAAACGATAAAATAAACTTAGGCACGTTGAGTACTCTATACTCCTGAAAAAGGAAAAAGAAATTGACTGTCTCAGGATTCAGGAATTTTATGAAAAAAAAAAAAAAAAAGAAAGAAATTGACTGTCTTATACAAATTAAAATTTACTTTATTTTACTGTCTCATATAAATTACAGTTTATTTTACAAGCAATGAAAAGAATTTGAGAGAACGTGACGCTGAGTCGGCTAAGCACTCAACACTGGCAAAAAAAAAAAAAAAAGCAAAAGAAACTGCACTGTCTCATCTAAATTAAAACGAACATAACTAAAATTTTAAGATCTTAATTAAAAAAAAAAAATGCAATGAGTCGTCGATACCCGCGAAAAAAAGGAATTCACTGCATCACCCAAATCAAACGATAAAATAAATCTATCATTTTTAATGATAATCAGTTGATATTATCATTTGATCATTATCATTCGATTAAATAATCAAACGATAATAATAAATTAAAACAAATTTATCATCGTCGTCGAGCACTTGACACTCGCGGAAAAGGAGAACGAAATTCACTACGTCACGCGAATCAAAATAAACGATAAGATAGATTTATCATTTTTTTAATGACAATCAGTTGATATCATCATTTGATTATCATCATTTGATTGAATAATCAAATAACAATAACAAATCAAAACAAATTTATCCTTGTCGTCGAGCACTTGACACTCGCGAAAAAGGACAGAAGGAGCCCGCTGTCTCGCACAGACTAAAACAACCAACAAAATAAACTTTAAAGAACCTGCTGCCCCCGCCGAGTGGGCCGAGCACCTAACACGAGTGGGGGGCAAAAAAAAAAAAGAAAAAAGGGCGAAGGCAGGATGTCCTGTCCCCCAGAAATTAAAATAAGCAATAAAATGAGTAAATCTTTTTAAAAAAAAAAAAAAAAAAATTTAATAATGAGAAAAAACAACCGCGAGACAGAGAGAGAGAGAGAGAGAGAAGAGAGAGAGAGACGAGAGGAGAGAGAGAGAGAGAGAGGGAGGGGAGGCTGAGCAGACGACCCACGCGGGGCGGGGGAAACGCCGAGATAACTCAGGGAGACAGAGGCCTCGCCCTGGCAGGGGGTGGAGGCCAGGAGCGGAGGCCCGGGGGTGTGGAGGCCGGGGAGCGGAGGCCGGCCCGGCCTCACTTCATGTACTTGTCCTGCTGGTCGGCGAGGATCTTGGCGGAGGACTTGGCGTCGTAGAAGAGCTCGCTGATCTCCTCCACGTGCTCCTTCTCGATGCCGTCCTTGCCGTTGATCTTGGCCAGCAGGTGGGCCGGGGTCAGCAGCTGCACCGAGTACCTGGGGGGCCGAGCGGGGGCGGGGCGACCACAGTGAGACCCAGCCTCAAAAAAAAAAAAAAAAAAAATCAAAATCAAAAAAAAAATAATAAATAATATAATAATAATAAAGGTCCGGGCGCGGGAGGCCCATCCGGGAGGCCGAGGCAAGAGGCTCGCTCGCTCGAGGTTCGGAACGGAGAGAGCAGCCCGAGCAAGAGCGAGGCCCCGTCTCTATTGAAACAGACAATAAATGAATCGGGCCGATGTGACATACCATAGAAAAAATTGAGCCGGCGCGCGGTGCCAGGCAGCCCCAGCACTCTGGGAGCCGAGGAGGGAGGATCGTCGGGATCAGGAGGTCCGGGTGCCAGCCCGAGCAAGAGCGAGAGCCCCGTCCTCTACTGAAAACAGGAAGAAATGAATTGGTCAGCCAAAAATATATAGGAAAAAAAAAAAAAAAACGAAGCCGGGCGTGGGAGGCGCACGCCTGTCGTCGCCAGCTACTTTAGGGAGGGAGGCCGAGGCGGAGGATCGCTGAGGCCAGGAGGTGGAGGCTGGCTGTGAGCGAGGCGTGACGCCACGGTGCTCACTCCGCCCGGGCGACAGGAGCGAGACTCTGTCTTAAAAAACACTAAAAGAAAAAAAAAAAAAAAAAAAAAGACGGGCGTGGGCTCACGACTGTCATCCCAGCACTACGAGAGGAAGCCGAGGAAGGAGGCTCACTCGAGGTCAGGAGATCGAGGCCAGCCTGAGCAAGAGCGAGACCCCGTCTCTACTAAAAAAAAAAAATAGAAAGAAATTAATCGGCCAAATAAAAACACATAGAAAAAAACGAGCCGGGCGTGGAGGAGGCTGACGCCTGTCGTCCCAGCTACTGCGGTGGAGGCCGGGGCGGGAGGATCGCTGGAGGTCAGGAGGTCGAAATCAAGGAAAAAAAAAAAGGAAAAACCCAGCAGCTGGGGACTCTAGGAGGCAAACCGAGGGGCCTGACGCCCATGTCTCCGGGGAGCCCGGACAGACACGGCCCTGCGCCCGCACCGCCCAAAAACAGGCTGGCCGGTAAATTCCAGAATGTTCTAGAGTGTTCCGGAATGTTCTGGGATGTTTCCGTAATGTTCTAGAATATTCCGGAATGTTCCAGATTGTTCTGGAATGTTCCAGATTGTTCCAGAATGTTCTAGGATGTTCCGGAATGCTCCAGATTGTTCTGGAATGTTCTAGAATGTTCCAGTGATGCCCCAGGGGTGTGCCCCCCTCCCCCCCGGCTCACCTGAGCGTGGTCTTGGTGCCGATCTCGCCCAGGTGGTTCAGGGCCTCCTCGCTGATGTTGATGCCCTCGGTCTGCGCCCGGATCTTGATGATCTTTCGAGAAGGGAGAGAATCAGGGTCGCACGGGGGCAGGTCGCCCGCCCGCCCGCCCGCGGTCGCCCCGCTGCTTGACGTGCTCCCGGGAGGGACAACCCCGGCCCGGACCTGCCGTAAACCCTGGCACTCTGGGAGGAGGCCGAGGAGGGAGGATCGCCGGAGGCCCGGAGGTCGAGGCCAGCCTGAGCCCAAGAGCGAGACCCCGTCTCTACTAAAAAAAAAAAAAAATTACAAAGAAATGAGCCGGACAAGTAAAAATATATATGGGAAAAAAAAACGAGCCGGGCGTGGTGGCTCACGCCTGTCGTCCCAGCTACTCGGGAGGGAGGCCGAGGCGGGAGGATCGCTCGAGGCCAGGAGTTCGAGGCCAGCCTGAGGAAGAGGGAGACCCTGCCTCGACTAAAAATAGAAATTAATTGGCCAATGAAAAATAAATATAGAAAAAATTAGCTGGGAAGAGAGGCTCACAACTGTAATCCCAGCTACTTGGGAGGCCGAGGCGGGAGGCTCGCTCGAGGTCAGGAGTTGGAGCGACGCCTGGGCAAAGCGGAGACCCACCCCGTCTTCTAACTAAGAAAATAGAAAGAAATTAACTGGACAACTAAAAATATACACAAAAAATTAGGCGGGCGTGGTGGTGCATGCCTGTCTGTCATCCCAGCACTCTGGGAGGCCGAGGCGGGAGGCTCGCTCGAGGCCAGGAGTTGGAGGCCAGCGTGATCAAGAGCGAGACCCACGTCTCTACTAAAAAAATAGAAGAAATGAGCTGGACAACTAGAATATATTGAAAAAAAACAAACCGGGCGTGAGGCGCCTGCCGTCCCAGCTTACTGGGAGGGAGGCCGAGGCGGGAGGCTCACTGGAGGCCAAGGGGTTTCTGGAGTCCGTCCCTGCGCCCCCCCCGAGGGCTCAAACCCTCCGGCAGCAGCCTCAGCCTCACGGGACAAAAAGCAGCGCGGCTCGGTCAAATGGAGGCCGGAAAAACACGCCCGGGCAGAGGCCGGCGGGTCCCCGCTAGAACTTTCTCTGTCTTCTTATTTCTCTAATTTTTTTTGAGGCCGAGTCTCGCTCTGTCGCCGGGCTGGAGCGCGTGCCGTGGCGTCAGCCTCGCTCCCGGCGGCCTCCACCCAGCTCCCGCCTCAGCCTCCAGCCCGAGTAGTGGCTGGGACCACAGGCACGTGCCACCACCAGCCGGCTCTCTCTTTTTTTTTTCTGTATGTTTTTAGTCGTCCAGCTCATTTATTTTTATTATTATTATTGTTTTTTTAAGCAGAAACAGGGTCTCGCTCTCGCTCAGGCTGGTCTTGAGCTCCTGGCCTCCAGCGAGCCTCCTGCCTCGGCCTCCCTCCCGAGTAGCTGGGACGACAGGCGTGCGCCTCCACGCCCGGCTCGTTTTTTCTATATATTTTTAGTCGTCCAGCTCATTTCTTTCTCTTTTATAGTAGAGACGGGGTCTCGCTCTTGCTCAGGCCGGCCTCGAACTCCCGACCTCGGGCCATCCTCCCGCCTCGGCCTCCCTCCCAGAGTGCTGGGACGACAGGCGTGCGCCTCCACGCCCGGCTCATTTTTTCTATATATTTTTAGTCATCCAGCTCATTTCTTTGTATTTTTTTTTCAGTAGAGACGGGGTCTCGCTCTTGCTCAGGCTGGCCTCCAACTCCTGACCTCGAGCGAGCCTCCCTCCTCGGCCTCCCAGAGTGCCGGGATGACAGGCCCGAGCCCCCGGGTGCCCGGCCAAGCACTGTCATTGTTAGAGACGAGGACCGAGAGTCCGGCTGGCCGACTGGCACCAGTGGGTGGCCGGCAGGTGACGGGGCTGGCTGCAGCGTGGCCTGTCGGACCCCGGGAACCACGTTCCCGGTCACCGCGCCACCCAGTTAAGAAATCAATAGGCCTGTTAAAAACATATAGAGAGAAAAACGAGCCGGGCGTGGTGGCGCGTGCCAGTCGTCCCAAGCTGCTCGGGAGGGAGGCCGAGGCGGGAGGATCGCTCGAGGCCAGGAGTTCAAAACCGGCCTGGAGCAAGAGCGAGACCCCCGTCTCTGCTATAAACAGAAAGAAATTAATTTGGCCAACTAATATATACAGAAAAAAAAAAGTGAGCCGGGCGTGGAGGCGCGTGCCTGTCGTCCCAGCTACTCGGGAGGGAGGCCGAGGCGGGAGGCTCGCTTGAGCCTCAAAGCCGGAGGCCGCTGTGAGCGAGGCTGACGCCACGGCACTCACTCTAGCCCGGGCGGCAGAGCCAGACTCTATCTCAAAAAAAAAACAACAAAAAAAAAAACGCAGGGGAGGGAAAGCACAGTGGAGGCCCACCGGGAGGCTGAGGGCCTCCTTCGCCCGGCCCGGCCTCCACACGTGGTGGAGGCCGAGGCCCCGGGCGAGGCTGGACTGGGCGGAGGCCGACGGCTGAGAGGGGGCCCGGGCCCGAGACGGGGGTCCCCTTTCCTCGAGGCCCCCCGGGGGGACCAGGAGGAGGCAGAATGGGGAGGACAGAGAAAGGGGGAGGCCGGGCCTCACCTGCTTCATCTCCTGCGGGGTGTAGAGCATCGTGCGGATGATCATGACGCGGTCCAGCAGGTCCAGCGGGATCCCGTGGGGCGACGTCACGTCCTCGGTGCCCCTGGGGGGAGGGACGAGAGCGACCCCGTCGTCACCCACGCGGCGCTCGGACTCGAAGCGAGACGAGAGGAGGCACAGGGCGGAGGCCGGCCTCGAACCGCGGGGCCGCTCGGCAGCGTCGTCCTGAGACCATCGGGGCCAGGGTGAGAGCGAAACGGCCGCGTTCACCGGGAGGGTGAGAGCGAACCGGCACTCACGGAGGCCCGGCGCGGAGGCTCACGCCTGTGACCTCAACTACACCGGGAGGGAGGCCGAGGAGGGAGGATCGCTCTTGAGGTCAGGAGTTGGAGGCCAGCCTGAGGCGAGAGCGAGGCCCCAGTCTCTACTGAAACATAGAAATGAGCGATCCTCCTGCCTCGGCCTCCCTCCCGAGTAGAGGCTGGGACTCCAGGCGTGAGCCTCCACGCCCGGCTCTTTTTTTTTAGACTATATTTTTAATTACCAATTACACTTTCTTTCTTTTTGAGTAGAGACGGGCCTCCTCCGCTTGTCTTGCTCAGGCCGGCCTCCGCCTCCTGACCTCCTTCCCGGCGACACCGGTCTCCCTCCCTCGGCCTCTCCTCCCAAGTGCCGGGGGGGCCGACGACAGGCGTCAGAGCCTCCTTCCCCGCCGGGCCTCGCTGCTTCCCCGATCTCTCTCCCGTCCGTTGAAGCGACAGAAAAGAGAACCGCGGCGGCAGAGCCCCCCCGGGTCCCCCTCGAGTAGCAGGCCCGATCCAGCCTCCTACTCCCTTTTTTCCTCCACGTCGGCCCAGCTTTTCCTTGGCCGAACCTTTAGTCTGGCACAGCGCCCGAACCCGCGTCCGAGAGGGAGAAACGAGGCCCCGAGAACTGTCAGCCCTCCAGGGTCCCAAAACACGGGGTTGCCCCTGGCGACGGCCACCCCACCCACCCACCCGCCGCTCCCGTGCGACCAGCCTCCACCCCCCAGAGTTAAAAGATCCGAGAGCGATGAATTCTCGCCCCGGGAGATGATTTCTCTGATTTCTTTTCTGTTTTTTTTTTTGTGTTTTGTTTTTAAAGTGGACGACGACCGACGACCGTTCTCAGCTCTGGAGGCTCAGTCCAGGCCGGCCTCGCTCGACCTCCGGCGAGCCCAGCCTCCTCCGGCTCCCGACCCCGCCCCGGCGAAGGCAGGCCGTACCGGACGACGCAGTTGCCCCGGTTGGAGGGCGAAAGACTGACGATGGGGGCGACGTGGACGGACTCCCAGGGCCCGGTGCAGGTAGGTTGAAGGCACTCGATGCCTGCATGTGGCACCCTCGTCCACGAACAGCACGCCCGGCCACCAGCTCCGCACGCCCTGGTGATGTACCTTGTTCACCCACCTTGATTGATCCTCGCCGACCCGCAGCTTGTCTGGGGGCACGCAAGGTCAAGGTCCAAGGTCACCCAGTGGTGGGCCCCCCTCCCCAGCCTCCCCGGCCCACCTGCCTCCACTCCAAAACCTCGGAGCCTGGGGCCCCGGTTTTTTCCCACGAGCTAAGAAGAGGGGGGGACCCGGGGCTCGTCGGTGTCCCCCCCCCAGCGAACCAAAGTATAAAAGGTGACACCGTGAAGGTGGCAGCCGGCCCCCGAGGACCTGCTCAGGATAAATCTCGCCAAAAGAGCCGCCCCGGCCCGGGATGGGCCGGCCACGCCTGTAATCCACTCCCGGGGCGCGTCTTGGGAGCGGGAGGCCGAGGAGGAAGGATCGCTGGCAAGAGTCCAGGAGGTGGAGGCGGCCTGAGCTCAAGGGCGAGACACCGGTCCTACTATGAAAATAGAAAGCCGGAGCGCCCCTGTGGGCTCACGCCTGTAAATCCAGCACTCTGAGGAGGCCGAGTTGAGGAGGATCGCCTCCAGCGTCAGGAGTTTCAAAACCAGACCTGAGAGGGAGCAGAGACCCACGTCTCTACTATAAGAGAAAGAAATTAATTGCCCAACTAATATATATAGAAGAAAAACAAAAAATTAGCCGGGCGTAGGTCTGGCGCATGCCTGTAGTCCCCAGCTACTCGGGAGGCCTGAGGAAGGAGGGATTGCTTGAGCCGCAGGAGTTCTGGAGGTTGCTGTGACAAGCTAGGCTGACGCCACGGCTACTCACTCTGCCTGGCGCAACAAAGTGAGACTCTGTCTCAAACAAAAAAAAAAATAATAAGTAAAATAAAAAAAAAAATAGAAAAACGAAGAATTGACTGGAGGCCGGGCACGGAGGCTCGTGCCTGTTCATGCAGTCCAGCACTCGGAGGCGAGGCGGGAGGATCGCTCGAGGTCAGGATTGAGGCAGCTGAGCAGAGCGAGACCCCGTCTCTACTAAAATATCAAACAGACAACAAATGAGGCTGGACAACTAAAAATTATAGAAAAACAAACAAAAATGCAGCCGCGGCATGGTGGTCGTGCCTGTAGTCCCCCTACTCGGGAGGGAGGAACAACGAGGTGGGGGATCGCGCTCATTTGGGTCAGGAGTTCAAAACCAGCCTGAGCAAGAGCGAGACCCCCCGTCTCTGCTAAAAAGAAATACAAAAAGAGTGAGCCTGGACAACTACAAAATTATAGAGAGAGAAAAAAAAAAATGCAGCTGCGCATTATTAGTGGCCTCCAACGCCTTGTCATCCCAGCCACTCTGGGAAGGCCGGGCCGGAGCGGACCGCTCGAGGTCAGGAGTCAGAGGCCCAGCCTGAGCCTCAAGAGCGAGACCCCATCCTTAAAAAGAAAAAAAAAATGAGCCGGTACAACTAAAAATATAGAGCGAAAAAAATGTAGCCCGGGGTGGTGGCGCATGCCTGAGTCCCAGCTACTCGCGAAGGGAAGGCCTGAGGCGCGGAGATCGCTCGTTTGAGGTCAGTGAGTTCAAAACCAGCCTGAGCAAGAGCCAAGAACCCCGTCTCTCACTAAAAAACAAAAAAAAGTAGAAAGAAACTAATTGGACAACTAAAAATATACAGAAAAACATTAGTTGGGTGCGGTGGCTCACGCCTGTCATCCCAGCACTGTGGGAGGCTGAGGTGGGAGGATCGCTCATTTGAGGCCAGGAGTTCAAAACCAGCCTGAGCAAGAGCGAGACCCCATCTCTGCTAAAAAAAATAGAAAGAAATGAGCTGGACAACTAAAAATATATATATATATAGGGGAAAAAAAATGAGCTGGGCGCAGCCCAGTGGCTCACACCTGTCATCCCAGCACTCTGGGAGGCCGAGGCCGGAGGATCGCTCTAGGTCAGGAGTCGGAGGCCAGCCTGAGCTCAAGAGCGAGACCCCGTCTCTAATTAAAAAAGAAAAAAAAAAATAGAAATGAGCTGGACAACTAAAAATACATAGAAAAAAGAACGAGCTGGGCGCGGTGGCTCACGCCTGTCATCCCAGCTACTCGGGAGGGAGGCCGAGGCTGGAGGCTCGCTCGAGGTTGGGAGTTGGAGGTCAGCCTGAGCAAGAGCGAGACCCCGTCTCTACTAAAAATAGCGAACGTTCGCCGGGGATGTCCAGGCGGGAGGAAGGGACAGCGGGTGGGACAAAGGGACGAGGTGACAGGATGACGGGCGGAGGGGAGCCGGGACTCGACCCACCCAGCAGGTCGGCAAGCGTGCGGATAAAAGGGCAAAGGGCGCGCGCGCCCAAAGCCGCAAGATGACAAAAAAAAACGGTCTCTGCTGCCTTGCTGGCTTGTTTGTATTACAAAACAAAAAAAAGAAAGAAAAAACAATGCAAAAAAAAGAAATAAAAAATAATGAAAAGAAAAAGAAAATAAAGAAATAAAAAAGAATGAAAAAAAATAAAAAAGAATGAAAAAAAGAAATAAAAAAGAAATGAAAAAGAAGAAAAAAAGAAACGAAAAAGGAAAAAAAAGAAATAAAGAAGAAAAAGAAAAAAAAGAAAAAAAAATAATGAAAAGAAAAAGAAAAAAGAAATAAAAAATAATAAAAAAAAGAAATAAAAAAGAATGAAAAAAAAAGAAATAAAAAATACTGAAAAGAAAAAGAAA